CGTATGGTTGGACAAATTGACAATGATTCTAGGTAACATTTGTTGAACATGGGAATGATTAATGAGTAATATTGGTTTTGCTATGTTAGATCTATGATTAAGCATTTAAGCAAGTGAATATCATAATTAAATAAAAAGCTGAAAAGTATAAAATATAAAATAATTAGATTATTAAAGTAATAAAATGTTGCAGATGGGAAGATGTAAGTAATTAGTGATGCATTTATTGAAAACCATTGACAAACACCATGTGCATTTACAGATCTGTTTTAGCCGTATACTTGTAGTTCTATCCATTATCTTCTCTCTTAAGTATTTCTGTTATTCAAGTTCACAAAGTTAATTCTTTTTTGTTGACTGATTTTGGGTTTAACCATATATAATGATACACAAAGAAAGAAAATTAACATCTTAATCCCATATTTATGTATATAATCCACTGGTTCTCAAGTAGTGTTCAACATGTTCAACATGTTCGTCAAATAGGTCAACTTTTTTCATGATTTGTGGTGCAATATACAAAAATACAAAAAAATTATTTTGACGACAAAAAAAATTTGGACATAAGAATTTGATTTCTTGAATACTAGACTTGTTTTTGGAGTATGTTTTTGGTTTGGCTAATATATTATATATAAAAACGAAAATGCGATAATAATTTGAAGTAGAAAGATCGAGGGAGTTACCATCTTTGAAGCAAAAGGCAACGTGAAAGATCGAGTGAAGTAGAACAAGCATTATCACTCCCTTCTTTTTCATTTCTTTCAAAAAAAATTTACCCAAATTATATGTTTTACAAAATTGAAGCTTTCAGAAATGATAAAATAAAATTGGAAAAGAGTGAGTGAGAGAAGGAATGTTTCAGAGTGGAGTGGAGGACAATGAGGAGGAGATAGCTCTTATATGCAAAGTTGTACAACAAAAAGCCCCTTGTCTTTGTTTAATTGACGGTTTTGCCACTATAGACTTGTGTCGGAACAACATTGGTCTCTTTCTTTATTTCATCGTTCCTTGGAAATGGGTCACTCTTTCTTAGAAGGTTTGGCTAAATAACAATGTCGATTTATTATTTTTTTTGGTTTGTAACGAAATTCTTGTTTGAATAATTATCGCAAACGGTTAAGATTCTCTGGTCCTAAATAGTAACATAAATATCTTAATATTTAGTAATGTAGACTATTTTTGAATTTATTAACAAAATGGATTGACAAATAACTTTACTATCTCTTTGATTTAATGTTGTGACACAAAAATTATCACTACAAGAAAACAGGCGGAATTCCGACGACCAAAACCGTCGGAATTCCGTCGGAAACAGCCCTTTTCCGACGGCTTTCCGACGATTTTGGTCGGTCGTTTCTATCTCGTCGGAAATAGAAATTCCGTCGGAAATCCGTCGGAAATACCGACGGATTTNCGACGGAAAAGAACNCGTCGGAAAGCTGTCGGAAATCCGTCAGTATATCGTTGTCCGACGGAATTCCGACAGATTACTAAACCGACGGATATCCGACGGTTTACGAAACCGACGGATTTCCGACGGTTTACTAAACCGACGGATTTCCGACGGTTTAGTAAACCGACGGAATTCCGACGGTATATTATTTAATTAAAAAAAACCTTCG